TCTTATCAACCAGAGAACAGAATACAACCCCACTGACATGACCCTGCTTCATTTTCCTCTTTGTCTGCCTTCTTGAGCAATTGCTCCTCCCCACCTCTGAATCGCATCATGCAATACCAGCCACCCTCACTCCTCCTTCTCCAGAAAGAGAAACGTACGAGCAAAGGGCTGAAGTAAGCAATTTTACTTCATATCCACCTTTTTAAGTTTGGTCTATCCTTAAAGTTTAAACTCGTCTGACTTTTTACCTATGATGCTATCTCCAAAACTCCATAGAGGTCTTATCTTCCTTTTCAGTTCTCTAATTTTACTTTGTTACTCCAAAATATCTCTGTATTAGTTAGGGTTCCCAGGTGCAAGCAAAACTACCAATTCTGCTTCATATAGGCAGAAAATAAATTTATTAGTATGACATTATGGAGATCACACAAATGTTAAGGAATTGCCAAGAATTGCTGAATATCATGTTATAAGAGTGATTTACCTAGGACACAGTAACTGGCTCTGTTGTTAGTGGATAGTTGCTACCAAAGGATATCTTACTCCATGCATTTGGACTCAACTCTACTGCAACCATTGTGAAGAAAATCTAATTGACTAAGATTTTTGTACTACCTTCCCAAGATTCAAATTCCTGGGTGGGAGCATACACTTGGCTGTGATTAGGTGACATATCCATTCTCTGAGCTGTGATGTTCAACACTGCAGCGGTAAAAGGCATGTAGCTATCAAGCACTTGAAATGTGACTAGTCTAAATTGAAATGGGCTATAACTGCAAAATACATATCAGATTTTGAAGACTTAGCTCCTTCCTGAAATAAAATACCTCATTAGTAATATTTTTTAAAAATATACTGGGTTGCTATTGTAATATTATGTTATTTAACATTATTAGGAAATCATGTTATGATTACCTTTCCCTTTTTAAAATGTGGCTTCTCGAAAATTTAAAATAACACATGTGGTCCACATTTGTGGCTGGATTTATATTTCTATCAGAGTCTTCATGTTTAGGGGAGATAATGTCAACCCCCTTGCAGATTTTACCAAAAAGAAGGAGGATTCACATCCATCCATAGCCACTTAGGCCAGTTTGTCTCATATTCTGGTTATTTCTTTGTTTCTCTCTGTAACATGATGAAACCTCAATACATAGATTTTCTCATTTACAATGAATTCTTTAGTTTGCATTCTTGTATTAGAACCCAACAAATCCTCACTGAATATTTGCTGAATTTGCTAGCTATACATCTGTGATTTTATAAAGTGACCTAAATATTTTAGAATTCATAATTGTGGTGAGGTTAATTTCAATACTACATTAAAATAATCAGTTAAAGTTTGAGAAGTAAAACTGTCCTGAGAACGAAAAGCATGAAATACCATTATTTCTACTTCTATAGAAGAAGGTAGAGGGAAGAGTGCTTGGTTTTCACTAGGCAGTTTCACTTATAATGTCTTTTATTATTCTTGACAGTCTAATCATACACATTTTACTAATCAGCTAATGAGATTATAAGAAGTTTGCTAAATTCCTTAAGGTGGCATAATCCCCCAACTGGCATGACTGAGATTTGAACCCAGTTTTGTCAGACTTCTCAGCTTAGGCTTTTTCTACTAAACCATGCATCCATAAGCATGGAATTTAAATTTCTGCTGTTCACTTTGTACATTTTTTAATGGTTAAAATAAATTATTTTGAAAAAAATCCATCTTACATCAAAAGCTACAGGACTATCATGTAAAAATTTTGCTAAGCAACATTCTTCAGTAAATTAAATATACGTAGCCAGAAAATGCTATGTCTTCAGTTCTCTTGTAAATAGGTTTTAAATTAGACACAAAAGACATAGGAAAATATAATTTGAGTATTATTGAGCCCCTAATGCCTGAATATATCTTAAGGTCTCTTGAAACTCTGAAACACAGCTGGGCAATGTATCTTGGCATAATTTATTTTTTTAAAGCCACTCACACCTGGTTGTATTTTCAACATATTGGGTTTTGTGAATTTACTCTTTTACAAAAAGCACTTATGCCTAGTCAAAATTCATTCTACTCTAAATGAAGAAATCCCTAAGGTTCACAATGGATATGGCATCATCGCAATGGGTTGTGCTATGATTAAAGCAAGTTATTTTTATATGACATCCATTTAAACAGTATAATATCCATTTCATGTTCTGGAAGTAATTTTTAGTGAGTATTTTGCCATTTCCATTAATGATGAAGTAATGGAGGACACTGATGGAGACTTAAAAATGTCTGGATTCAAATTTCTCATTAATATAGCATTTTAAAGACAAATAGCACTATGCCTGTCTCTGACAAGGGGGCATTTCTTACTTTGGATAGGGGATCACTTTTCTGTGCTTGAACAGGCTATTGGTCCTATAATAGAAATTAAAAAAAAATAGACATCACATAATTAAAATCAGCATTTCCAAAAGTATATTCCTTGATTTGTTAGTTTACTTTTTTTTCCAAAAATCCTCCAAACCACAAAAACCTGAGTGGCTTATTATTGATTTGGATCCTTTATTTGCAAGTGGGGAAAACTTAACTCAAAATATTGTAACCAGGAAAGGAAGAGATAACCAGGTTGAAAACACTTGGTTCACTTGCTTTTTCTGTCTCTCTGGTCTTTGCTTCTTTCTGTATATCATCTTAGGCTACAGTGGGCTCTAAATTGATATTCCTGGTGTTTGCAACTAGCAAAGGGCTGGTTTGCACCCATAAAAGACTCTCTCTCACCAGCTTGAGACAGAAGATGCTATTGAAGGATTTGATTGACCCAGCTTGGATCACAGGCCCATTCCTAAACCAGTCCTTACACCATGGAATATGTATACTTATTCCCACACTTTGGGGGAGAGATCTGTGACCAGAAGTAATGTCTGGAAAAAGAGTGTTAGGCAAAACTGTACCAGGAGTCAAAAATATTTGAACAGATTTCTGAGCTGTAGGCCATCTCAGAGTCTTTAACATGCTAATATGAAAGATGAATCTGTGGACAAGGAGGATATTTTATGCAATGTTTTCTGAATATATTTGAATATGGAAATTTCTTTTTACTAGGACATCATGTTAGATTGATGTGTTCTATAGTTGCAGACATAGTCACACAAAAATTAGCTCCTTCAGTTTCTGTTATCAATCTAACGGTCTTCGTGAGCTCCTATGCTTCTGAGTGGATGGTGTGACTAAGGTATATATTTACAGAGTGAGGGAGTGTATGAGTGTGGGTAACTTGAACTACCAATCAAAAGTCTCTTTTGATAAGTTGGTCTCTCTGAGTGAAAGGCTCAATGAGTCACATTATCTCCCTCATCTTCTCAAGTTGATATTTGGCTATATGGGTAAAGACGGGCTTGCTTATGTTACCTCTTGGCAACAGGGTCTGTGTTCTTTCCTCTGGACTCTTGCCAGACTCTGCTATGGGATGACTGGTCTGGCCCATTTGTTCCTTGCACTGGAATTTGCTAAAAGGTGGCTGGTGAACTTAGAGTTTATTATTTAGCTGAAGTTGGGCTTTTTGGTCTTCTTTTTTTTTTTTTTTTTCCAAATTTTTTTTATTGTTATGTTAATCACCATATATTACATCATTAGTTTTTGATGCAGTGTTCCATGATTGATTGTTTGTTCATAACACCCAGTGCTCCATGCAGAACGTGCCCTCCTCAATACCCATCACCAGGCTGACCCATCCCCCCACCCCCCTACCCTCTAGAACCCTCAGTTTGTTTTTCAGAGTCCATCATCTCTCATGGTTCGTCTCCCCCTCTGACATACTCCCCTTTTCGTCCTCTCCTGTTATCTTCTTCTTTTCCTTTTTTCTTAAAATATGTTGCGTTATTTGTTTCAGAAGTACAGATCTGTGATTCAACAGTCTTGCACAATTCACAGCGCTCACCGTAGCACATACCCTCCCCAAAGTCTATCACCCAGCCACCCCATCCCTCCCACCCCCAACCACTCCAGTAACACTCAGTTTGTTTCCTGAGATTAAGAATTTGGTCTTCTTTTGCTACTTGATTCGACCTCAGCTCTTACTAGTGGTACATACTTATTTTTATTGAAATGTCCTGTTTTCAGTCCCTGGTCAAGGCTGTCTTTTCCATACTTAGGGAATCGTCCCCTCGCTATGTCATTCTTTGTCAAGTCATTCTCTGAAAGATCACTGGTTCGTTATGCAACTACTTTCCACATATTCCCTACCCTACCCACCTTGGGGCATACGGAAAATTCAGGAGACTTTCACCCTATATCAGAGCTGAAAGTACTTGAGGAGTGTAAAGTCAGGACTTGTTTGTGCCTACCTACACTTTTTACTATTGTCTACCCTGAAGCTTCATCCCCATTTTGGCACATCAAGGAAGCCTTTGACTTTCTCTGGAACTATCTAACAAAGCTTGGAGTCTATCCTCACTCCCCAACTAAGTGGATGTCTTGACACGTGCAACCCTTTTCTTGCTTCTCCTATTTGAATCCCTCCTGTTTTTCTCCCTCCACCAGCCACCAGGGACTTTCTTATTGGTGTTTTTATATGTAAAATTAGCTCAGAATTTTAAGAATCCTTTTTCTCTTGTGACAAATCTTTGTTCTCTACACTGTTGTCTAGAGACAGATTTAGAAAAAATAATGAAGTCAACTGTGATTCAAACCTAAAGAAGGACCACTTAGTTTGAGGTGGTTTACTTTCACCCTCAGGGGACCAATGACATTGACTCAGTAGGTTGCAGGGTATGCAGGGCTACTACATATGAAAGCACATATGAAAATACTTCTAAAGAATATTATCACCAGTATAAATTTCTCATAACACCAGCTTTTGGTATGCTGATCTAGTCCAAACTATTAATTAACTAATGAGAAGAGACAGCCCAAGAGATTCTGCAATGTCAAACAAGTCTTTAGTGTCAGGGCTAAAACCCAAATCTCCTATTGCCAGATTATCTTGGCCTCCACTTAACCTTTTCAATTTATCTTTTGGATATAGTCCTTCACGAAATTTTGAATTAGCAGCACCACACAGATATTAACATCCTCAACTTTTCATAATATTCTGACTGGAAGGAGTTGGAGGGAACACAAAAGCTGAGAAGTCTCTTTCTCTAGGTAATAATAGCTAATGATTTTATTCTTATTTTTTATTTTTTAAAAAAGATTTATTTATTTATTTGAGAGAGAGAGGGGGAAAGAGAGAGAGGAATGGAGGGGTAGGGGCAGAGGGAGAGAGAAGAAAGAGTCTTAAGCAGACTCCATACTGAGCACGGAGCCCGACTTGGGGCTCTATCTCACTACCCTGAAATCACAACCCTGAGATCATGACCTGAGTCGAAACCAAGAGTCAGTCATTTAACTGACTGAGCCACCCAAGAGCCCAAAGAATAGTTAATGATTTTACAGAAGGTGCTATACAAGGCAGAGTCCATTTTATTATTATTATTTATTTGAGAGAGAGAGTGAATGAGAGAGAGAGCATGAGCGGGGGCAGAGGCAGAGGGAGAGGGAGAAACAGACTCCCTGCTGAGCAGGGAGCCGGACATGGGGCTTGATCCCAGGACCCTGGGATCATGACCTGAGCCGAAGGTAGAAGCTTAACCAACTGAGCCACCCAGGTGCCCCAATAGCTAATGATTTTAAAGTGCTTGTGGGCAGATGCTGTTTCATGCTCTATTTGTATTAATGCAACCATTTCTCACAACAATAAAGAATTATTATGCCACTTTATAGGTAAGGAAATTGAGTTACAGAGAGATCAAATAACTTGCCTTCTGTCACATAACAGGTAAGTGATAAAGCTGGGAATTGAACACAGTCCTGATCTAGAATCTGTGTTTTGCCCACTACATATGTTGCCTCCTACAAACCTTGGAGGAGCCATCTTGGACTTCCTCTGACTGCATTTTCCATTTTTCAAGGATCTTCTGATCCAAGAGAAGGTCCAATAGAAAAAATGGCCATAATTAATTCCTTTATTCAATTCTGGAAGTGTTTTCAACAGCTCAGGTAGGGAAACAGAGTTTTAGGTTGACTATCATAGGGGCTTCCTGTTATTCCATGCCCCATGATTCAAACCAATCTGAATAAAACTGGATTTGGGAAGTAGGAGATAATATTAAAGTGGAAGCTTAAATGCTAAAAATAAATTCTCTCTTACTAAGTTTGTGATATTGTGGTGGAACACTCAATATTATGGTTTTAGAAAACCTTTTCATTCCTCTTACCCCCAGTCCCTGAGATTTCCCAATCTCAGTATTTCTACGTGGGTAATATGCAATGCCACCCAAGGGGGAATAAAGGCAGCTGAGATTCTTCATGTGAGTGTTGTTAACAGCTTGTTAATTCCTTCTGACAACAACCTTCAAGAAGGTTCCCATTTGCAAATTTTCTAAATTCTGGGTTTCAATTATGGTCAAGTGTGAGGGTCTAAAATAGCAAGTCAATTATGGGTCCTTGACATTTGGGGGTAAATATAATCAATCACTTCCCAAGGCATGAACTCATCACCAAGATGCCAAAAATACAGCTCAACTTAGTTCCAGCTATCCAATCCTATTTTTTGCAACTGTCTATTTTGGAAGAGCCCTCCAACAAAGGAGATAAATACCATTTCACAATAGATTATGAAATGGTGGATGAGAAAACTGGTGTGATAGTGTAAAGAGCCCTAACCTTGGATTTGGGCAGACCTGGTACAAATTTTAGTGCCACTTCTTATTTCCTATGTGATGCTATAACTCATGCTCTTGATTTGTATAATGGAAGTAATATCTATTTCCCTAAGTTTTTCTGAGAATTAAATGCAATGATATTAGAAAAAATGTCTGCCATATATTATTTTTTGTTTTTAATATAAGATTTGCCTTGGTTTGGGTTTGTAAGGGTTTTCTTTTGTTAAAGCTAGAGTTACTTTTCTCCCAGTTTTATTGAGATTTAACTGACATACATTGTATTAGTTTAGGGTGTACAATATAATGATTTGATATATGTATATATTGCAAAATGATCACCACAGTAAGTGTAGTTAATATCCATCATCTCACAGTTATAATTATTCTTGTGATGAGAACTTTTAAGATCTCCTGTTAAGGGGTGCCTGGGTGACTCAGTCGGTTAAGCGTCTGCCTTCGGCTCAGGTCATGATCCCAGGGTCCTGGGATCGAGCCCCGTGTTGGGCTCCCTGCTCAGCAGGAAGCCTGCTTCTCCCTCTCCCACTCCCCCTGCTTGTGTTCCCTCTATCACTGTCTCTCTCCCTTTCTGTCAAATAAATAAAATCTTAAAAAAAAAAAAGACCTCCTGTTAATAGCCTAAAATGTTGGAGGACGGAATCAAGTTTTTTTTTTTTTTAAGATTTTATTTATTTATTTATTTATTTATTTATTTATTTATTTATTTCAGAGAGAATGAGAGAGAGAGCATGGGGGGGGGAGGGTCAGAGGGAAAAGCAGACTCCCTGCTGAGCAGGGAGCCCCAATGCAGGACTCGATCCTGGGACTCCAGGACCATGACCTGAGTCAAAGGCAGTCGCTTAACCAGCTGAGCCACCCAGGTGCCCTAGAAGCAAGTCTTAATACAGAGGAGCCTGGGTGGCTCAGTTGGTTAAGCATCTGAATTTTGATTTTGACTCAGGTCATGATGTCAGGGTCATGAGATTGAGTCCCACGTCAGGCTCTGTGCTCGATGGGTAGTCTGCTTTGGATTCTCTCTTTCCCTCTTCCTCTGCCACTCCCCCTGCTCATGCACACTCTCTCTCTAAAAATAGATAAATAAATCTTAAAAATTAAAAGGCTTAATACAGACTTTTTTATGATGAAGAAAATTACAGATATTGTCACTGAACTAATCTGATTAACTCTCAGCTAGGTAGCTCAGGTTCACAGACCTATGTTTACCATATTCCAAAACCCTTCAAATGGTACATATGCTCTCAAGGTTTGTTGTTTTTTTGTTCTTCTTCCCCTCCCCCCCAATATCAATAGTAGGCAGTGAATGTATTTTGGTTTCTTCAATGTTAAAATTGTGGAAAATCTTAGCAGTGGTTTAAAACAAACTATATGAGACATTCTATGAAATAGTGTTTCAGAAGATCTGGAGAGATAATTACCATAACCATATGTCTACTATAACTGTAAGCCTCTCAAATTACTTACTATATTTAAATTAATAAATTCCTAAATATTTTCTTCTTCATGAAGGTCTTCCTATCATATCACATATGTCTATTTCTTGTAATAACTATTTTCATGTCCTTTTTCTGACTAAAATACTCCATCTTTTGCTTTACAGTGTCTCAAAAGTGCGGGCATCTGGAGAGAAGATATGGTATCTCCAGAAACCTGTGTCATCTTTGGCTCTTCTCTCTCTCTCTCATTTCCACTATCTATTCACAGAACTGGGTTTTATGGCTCTTTCTACAGATGTCCTTTCAGGTGTAACTCACTATTTTTTTCTCACCCAGTTCAATATTTTTCTGTAGATATTTATTGAGTGCTCATATATCACTCATAGTATGTATTCTAGGACAAATATGAATAAAAATTGTTAAATGCCCTTGAGAAAATTTTAATATGATGATGGAGATAAATGAGGAAATAGCTAATCAAAATTCAGTGTGAAAATATAAGATATGTATTTTTTTATTGCTGTGGTACCTATTTCACCTGATCAGCAAAAATTTATTGAGTGTATGATGTATCCACTCCTAGAATGGGGACATCAGTGAACAAAATAAATATAGCTCCTACCCTTTATAATTTTCTTGGCTAGTGAAGAAAACAGAAGCTAAAAAAATAATTACAAATCCTTAAATATTCACAAGATACTCTATGTCCTATAAAATGGAAGAAAATAGCAGATACTAATGAGTAATTATTTAACATTAATTTAAATCAATTAAATTTTGACCAATAGTTCACAGTTGTTTGTCCATAATGCTATTTCTGACTAAACTTTAGCCTAAGTTAACAAACACATTTATACCAAACCACATTTTTCTTCTATAAAAGCATTACTTTTTATTTAATGTTGATAACTTCATGGGTATAAAACTTATAGATGTTTCCTATTAATGTTTTGATTAAATGTTTTATCTCCTTTTCTTGGCACAGGAACCATTTTATTGGGTCTATAAATGCCATGATAAGTTCATTTTCTTTCATATAGCTTTAGTTCTTTAAAAATGCTCTTATATTACATAATTTAACTTGTTGATACAACATAAGGGAAAAACACTAAGTATTTTCAGCTCCTGAGTTCCATGAATGATGCATAGCAGGTTTTCAGTTAATGTTGAAAATTATACCTTCTATTTTGATCATTTCCTATTTATCTTTCATGGAATATTGGATTTAGTTTCCAAGCTGACATTGGAGTCCTGATTTTGTTACTTATCAGGTGTGTGACTTCAAGACAGTAAATTTTTAGGGCTTCGGTTTCATCATTAATAGTATGGGTGTGAGTTGTGTTCATATTTGAAGACTTGATTATCTGTAAAGTTAGGCACATGGTAAGTGGTTAGTTCTCTTTTATGATCACATTTTCTATCATATCATAAGAATCTAATAATTGTCACCTACTTAGAAATAGGAAAGATACAGAATGGTATTCCTCTGTGTGCTGCAGGGAGCACATTTTAATTGATTTTTACTTGATAAATAATTTTTCAAAATTTATAAGAATTCTGTAGTGGTTATAAAGAAGTTGTCTCAAGAGCATTATTCCTGGGTCATAATCACTTCTTAGAAAACACAACATTTGGATGAACATTGAGCTTTCGTTTTCTTTCCTTCTTTCTCTCTATACCTCCTCTCCCTTCTCCCTTTCCTCTTCCTCCTCCTTCTCTCTCTGAGATTTTTGGATCACATAGTGCAATAATGAGTGTCAGCAATTAACAATAGAACGTTTTTCTCTGCATAAGCATCCATGACTTACCAAAGCCAGCCTTTTAGCTACATTTCTAAGAGAAAGCATTCTTTAGAAAGACTCCTTTCTGACTACTAGCTCATAAACTCTTATTAATCTTAAAAATATAAAGGAATGTATAAAGGAAACAATCATAACTGTGGTTTTGAATTGAAAAAATATATAATATACAAAACTTTTGAAACAAGGAAAAAAAATAATCATTCTTATTCCACTACCTTAAACAATTTTTGTAAATTTTGTGCATTTCTTTCTAGCATATATATATAGAAGGATAGAAATATATATATTTTAAGCACATATATTTTTAAACATAAATATTCATATCTTAATTTTAACTTAGCTTTATGTACTAGTTATGCAATTATCATTTTTAGTGCTGCTCATTATTTCCTCGAGTTTGTACCAAGATATATTTAACTGATGCCACTTTGTTAGATATTAAATTAATTTTTGTTGAGTTATTATAACAAAAATATATATCGAACACTTTTACAGATAACTTTATTATTTTCATGGAACAAACTCTCAAAATGTAATTGTTAGCTCTAAAATAAAGAACATTTTTATGATTCTTTATATATATATTACCAGATTATCCTTAAAAAAATGTTTAAATAATTTTTCTTCCACTATATACACCAGCTTCACCTTCTACCCTTCCAAAGTATTAGTTTTCTTTCTTTCCTTTTTGCCCTTTTAAATCAACATTTCTTTCTTACTTCCTTTCCTTCTCTTTTCTTTTTTTCTTTTCTTTTTCCCTTCCTTCCTTCCTTCTTTCCCTCCTTCCTTCCTTCCATCCATCAATCGAGAAAAAGGTGGCAGTTGAATATTGAGAAAAATTTACCACTCCAGATTAACTGAA